TACACCTGAAGGCCATCTCGCTTATTACAGGACCGAATTTTACCAAATTTCCCACATATAACAAGCATAGTAAGCAGTCTTAAAATCCGCAATCAAATTTTAGAAAAGTTTCGTTTCCATGGATACGGCGGCCATATTGGATTTTGTTGACATGTCTTATGTAATGAATACCTCACTTATCGCTCATGGAAATTGATTTTTTGGTCCATGCGGGCTCACAAACGTTAGATCTAAAAACGAGTCTGTTGTTTTTTTCCTAAACGAATTTTTAAAAATTTTATGAATTTTTTCCTGGGGGTAGCATTCAAGTTTGCAAAAAATCTGTGAAAATCCACACTCCAGACACCACCAACAAAAATCTATATATCAAAAATTCAACAGACCAATTTTTTGTATTATATCTTCTCTTCATTCTGTGAAAATTGCATGAAGATTGGATTAAAAATGGTGGAGTTATTCAAAAAAAGTATAAAGAGCAGTCGCGTTTTGAGAAAACGTCCGATAAAGAAAAAAATATGTGACTTTATAAGGAAATGGCAGAGACAAACATGCCCGGTATGGGAAAAAATACGGTTTTGCGGGGTTCTTATGCGATGAAATAGTTGTAGGAGGGGCTGAGGAAGCTAAAAATGCCTACAACCCAAGTCCCATAATTTTGAGCCGAATTTTGACTTTGGGGTGTAGCCCCCCACCCTCCCCTTAAAGAAGGATGAAGGTAATCTCACGGCAGGGGCAAACTCAAGTAGGCACAACACTGGCAAATGTGAGTGACCAGAATGTGGGCGAAGCTTCTGTGCTGAAGCAAGCCTGTGTTGGCGGAAACTGCGCGCAGGTGATAAGTAGGTAGACTAGTCGACTTCTTCTGACACAAAAGGTGACTGTCGTGCATGTGTGTGGGTGTGTCGTCAAATAATTGACTCGGCTTTGGGACAGAGAAGGGGGGAAATGATGCTTGCCAGACGCACATCACCTACATTTTAAAGCGTATGCCTACCCCTGAAATGAAATTATAAAGAGTAAAGCTCACGCACAACCAAAACTTAAAGGGTGTAATCTGCAGGTTTAATGCGTAATATACGCACATTATGTGCGTAAAGGGGAGCCCTGCTTGGCGTTTAAAAAGAGGAAAGAAGTAAAGACGAACTCCTTATGTACAGCGGGCCTAAAACAAAACTAATCTTTATTGACATACTAAAAAGAACAACCACCAGACCAGACTCCCATATCTTACTCACACATAGGTACATGAATGTTCCATTTTACTCTTCCACACCACAAACTCATACGCATGAACATCTTACTCAGGGTACACATACGTAAAATGCTTTAGTTCACTCTTTGACATCTCGCTCAACACAGCACTCTGTCGACCACAAAACCCCTTATGATACAACCACAACTCACACACGTCACAACCCACCCATTCATCTTTCTCACCCCGCCCCCCACAAAACACTCTCATCTGCGGAGCGGTCATCGTCATAAACCAATCCCACCTCCTTTTCATCCTCTTCCTCCTCCTCACTC